CATAAGTGCAACATTTTTCACACTAGGTATGTGAAAAGGAAATTTTTAGTTGGTAGTTTAATTTTGGATAGTTGCATCATATAAATCCAATTTTTTTTTAAATCCAGCTCATTGCTTTTTTATCATACGACTACTTTGCTATGTTTTATCACTTTTCCTTTCTATAATTTTTTTAGTTAATTACTTAAATATTGTTAACTAGGTATCTTTTGCTTAATGGCTATCTTTGTTGGTTCATCACAATCTTTATGTTTTAAATAATAGGATCAAAATGATGGATGTTGTTGCTATTGGATTAAGTGTTCATTTTAGAAGGTGATTCTCACTTTTATTATAAGTGATTCTTCCCTGATTTTGTATTGAGTGATAAAAGTGTCATGTTTGATAAGAGGTTGTGTATTTAACTTCATTGAAATTCTTTTATTGCAGGAGTAGAAAATTTAAGGAACAGTTAACATAATAACATGTTTTGAAGAATCAATTTAGTAGAACAGACTATTTTATTGGTAACCAATATTGTTTATAATTTTAAAGTTATTTTTAGTTCATTTCAGGTTGAGATTAAAGGCATAATGAAATGGTTTGAAGGTAATGAATGAATGGTTAATGAGTTGTAGTTATTCAAATAGTTCACGAATAGGTGTAAAAAAATAGGTAACTAGCCTATTTCTCTAATTCTATCATGAACTTCAATTTTTAAAGGTTGCATTGGATGGTCTTTGTAAGCCTATTTCACGAGTTAGAATATGAGTTTATAAAGGTTTATTCTATCTCNAATAGGTAACTAGCCTATTTCTCTAATTCTATCATGAACTTCAATTTTTAAAGGTTGCATTGGATGGTCTTTGTAAGCCTATTTCACGAGTTAGAATATGAGTTTATAAAGGTTTATTCTATCTCACTGTATTTATTTTGTCACTTACCTATTATTTTTTTTCTAATTGGATATCTTTATTTTGTATTACGCATGAACATTAGCTAGGATATTGACCAGCAGGATTAATGTTGATCCTGCTAATATGATTAATTAAAGGTTAGATTGGTTGTTCAATTTTTAATGATTCTGTTTGAAGTGGTGAATATGAGAAAAACAATATTGAATTGAGAAAAAGTGAATTGGTTTGGATTGGGATCATGAAATTAGTTTAGTTCATTCATTATTGAAGTTGATTCATTGATCTTGGGGGAAGAAAAAAAAATCAAGTTATGTGGTAAGCTCAGATTTACGTTTATTGGAAAAGCTTAATCTTCACTTCTATTATATGATGTTTTGTAATGTTTTTTTAAACATCTTTGGCATCAAAATTGAGAATACAAGTCTGTGGCACTATTTAATTCACTAATCTATTGATGCTTTTATATTAAAAAACTGATGCAAGGTAACCAAGAAAAAAAAAGAATAAACAAACAAACTTTGTTGTGAAAAAGCCCAAGCGAAATCCTAAGTAGAATTCTAACATAGAAGCATCAAATGAATGCTGCATTCTCTTGGAAAATTTTCTTCATTAGAATTCTCACACGTTTTTATTCTTATGTAACTTTTGTTTCTCAACTGTAAGATTTTAGGAAGTTGAATAGTATTTGGTGCAACTGGGTTTTGGTAGTGGTACTTAGATTAATATATTTGCTACTTCATAGAAAATCAGGTATTTAGAATAATAGTGACACCGAATAACGGAGACATTCTGTTTTTGTAAAAACTTTTGTATGGGGTGGTATTTTAGTTAGAGGTAAGATGAAAAGAAAAATCAAAACTAGGACGTGTTATTGTGCCTGTGCATTAATTTTTCAATGTTTATTAATGATTTTAATTTTCCTATCTTCAAAGGTTGAAATTCTGTCAAAGTTCTTTAAAATATTAGTGAATCATATTGATTGTTGGAAATGTGTTATACATTGTTTTCGTGCATGGGTAAATATTTGCAAAATTTTTACGAATTATATAGTGCTTTCAGGCACAGATATTTACTAGTTTTTAATATATTGAGAGTGCAATGTAAAAAATTAAATTTTTTAAAATATAAAGTAGAGTTAATTACACTGGAGGTCCCTTAAGTATGTGATTTATCTTATTTTGGTTCTTAATATTTCAATTGCATCATTTTAGTTCCTAAAGTGTTGAATATATTTTTACATGATCCCTTAAGTAGTTAGCGTCCAAATTATTAATGATTTTTTTATCATAAACTTGTTATGTGATACTTAAATATAGACAAAAAAATAATTTAGATAATTATTGATCAATTTTTTACTCAAATTTTAGTCAAATACTACTTAAATTACACAGTTTTGATCATGAGTTATTTAAATTTTGGTCAAAAGCTACACATATTATACATTTTTTGTCAAAAATTACCCAAATTTTATTTAAAAGTTATCAAAATTATTTTTTATCTATATTTAGGTATTACGTGATAAGTTATGATAAAAAAATTATTAGTAATCTGAAAGTTGTCTATTTAAAGGACCATATACAAATATATTCAATATTTCATGGATAAAAATGATACAATTGAAACATTAAGAATTAAGGTAAATTTTATATTTTAGAGACTGATGTGAAATTAACCAAAGAGAATGTAAGACTTTTTGACCGGCAGATGTTCCCTTATTTGACCTGATCAAAGTCGACGGCCTTCAAAGTTTTTGTATTCTATTAGGCGAATTGTACTTTATACATTAGAAGATTAAAATATTTTATTTTATATCTTTAAATATTAATTTTTTTTATAATTATACTATCAATCTATTCTATTTATAAATATCAGTATATGTAAAAATTTTTTTTGATTTTTGATTTTATTCCGAATTATTATTATAAAGTGAATTATACTCACTCGTATGCTTTCATCTAATTTTTATTTTTTACACTTATTTGACTTTTAATTTGTTTTAGACTCTTTTATAAGGATTTCTAAATTATTTTGAACTAATTTATTAGTAGTATAGTTATATACAATTTTCTATATCTATATGAAGAATTAAAGTCCTATATATATTAAATTTTATGACCAAATATATGTTATATTTTTATTCTTTTATATATAATAATATTATAAACGATCTAATCAATTTATTTAACAAAATAAAAATTAATAATTTTACAATATAATTAAATATGCAAATGCCTAAAAAGGTCGGAGAGATACCTAAATAAATAAAAAATTAGGTACTCAAAAATTTATAGAATAAATCAATAATTAAAATACTGACTAATTATTCGATGTCTAATTTATTATTTAATTTAATTAGACATATAATTATCATATTTTATTAACATAATATTATTTAAATTTAGTTACTAGCGCACATCGTGTATTGCTAGTATATTAAAAGTATTACAATATAGTCATTTTGTTAGCTTTCATTTGTTTATTCTCTCAATGTCATTGAGTTTTTATTTTTTTACAGAATGAATAATGGAAGCTAATGAAAGGATTTTATTACAATACTTTTAATATATTAAGCGTGCAATATAAACAAAAATAATTTTTGAGGATATAAAATAAAAGTTTAAAATCTTTTAGGGTATAAAATACAATTCAGTCTAACTTGGCAAACTAATCTAACCACAAATATATTAAATGGAATTTTTTAATTAACTCATTAATCTTTTGAGCTTGGTTTCATGTATATCTTATCTTTCCAAATTTATATAACTTTACCTCGACTTAAGATTGAATCAACAAAAGCTCTTATTGAAAGGTGACATCAAATGTCGAATTGTTTAATAAAAGGTTAAGTATTACGATAACTTTACGATAGATAATTACACGATAATTCATACTTTTTTTCTATCTTGACATACGTCTCGTTTATATTTTGCACTTTTAAAAATCTATGATATGTTTACTTCCCCAAACAAGAAAGCCGAGGTAATGTGCTGTTTAGTTTTCGTACATTGAAGGCATTTAGTTTGTATTTTGATTGGAATTATGTTGAGGGGAATGTTTGCTCTAGAAAGCATGAGAAGCTATTCGGAAATGCCAATTTAATGTAGATTTGAGGGTTTCTATGTTTTTTAGGGTTAAATACAAAAAATCCCCTTGTACTTAGGGTCAGGTGCAAAAAACCTCCCTCCACTTTAGATTTTTGTATTAAACTGCCCCTATACTTAAAAAACAAAGTGCAAACATCATACGTATCCGATTGTATAATAATTGAATTTTTTGCCGATATGTATCCACGATGTATATGCTTTAGATATAAAATTGCATACATATAGTTTTTAGTTTTAGGAAAATACTATATAACCTAAATAAAATTTAAAAAGTGTAACTCAAATACATATATTCATCTATTTGATGAGTGTTGGGTGAGTGGATTCCACCGACAAAGTAGATAGGACCCACTAATCAAATAGATGATATGCATGTAAATTGTAATTTTTTGAATTTTATTTGGATTGTATAGTATTACTCTTAGTTTAATCTCTATCTTTTCCTCTTAAAGTCACATTTAATGCAACACATAAAAAAACATGTCATACAACTTGAAGAGAAATGGGTGTTTCATAAGTATCTTATCTATTATTACATATTAAAAGCGCATAAAATGTGTTATTTACAACAAATCTATTGGGAACAAGAATTTTTAATCAAACTAACTATTTAAATATTGGTTTTGATTTCTTAATTAGTCACTTTATTTTATGAATATACCATAATGAGATGATCATTACTTTCTTTAAATTAAAAATTACTAATCTTTCGTATTATTGTTAAAAAATTTATTAGAAATTATTATTACGAAGTTATGAAAAAGTAATAAAAATATAAAATATATATTATTATATGCATATCCGTGTCCTATAATATATTATTATATATTATTTATTGAGGATACTCAGAAAAGTATAAGGAGAAGAATAAAAAAATTTATATGATATTTATAGATCTAGAAAAGATGTATAATAAAATACCTAAAAATATAATATGGAGGGTGTTCGAGAAAAAATGAGTAACGAATAGATATATTAACGGTTTTACAGAGGGCCTCACCTTTGCTTGGTGTTCTCAAGGACATCTCCCAATCGCTTGAGATTATGGGGAGAGCGGCAGCGATTGCATGGGTGATTTGAAACTCTCGAAACCAATTTGTGTTTAAGCAAGAAGATCCCAACGCATTGGCCACTTTGATGAGACCTCAGAAACTGTGGAGCGAGGTGATCTCTATTGATAAGGGCAGGCAAGGGGGTCAACAGGACGAAGTGCATCATCAACAAGAACAACACCCAAGCCAAAACCAAGTTGTTAAACTGAGTTGTGATGGAGCTTTTAAGAAAAGAGAAGCTGCTATAGGGGTGATCCTAAGGGGCGCACAAATGAGATATTGATGGAGGGTATAGCAAAACGAATTCTTGCGGTCTCCAGTCTGTTCCCTGAAGTAGCTGCTATTAGAGAAGCATGTCTCCTCGCATTAGTTTCTTGTTGGTTTTTTTGTGAAGTCTAGTTTGTATATGTGATCTGGATGATGACCCAACTCGAAGTAATGTTGTGTGATTTTTTAATGAAAAATTTTCTGAGACTTAGCCCATGGAGCGAAGATTTGGGCCGATAGGCCCAAACCGTAGTGCTCATGGACAAGCCTTGTAGGGGTTCGGGGGCAACGCTCCCGAGAAAATTTTTTGGGCCCGTTATATAGCCCAGTGCGTAGGACATATAAAATCCGTTATTTTGGTGATTAGGGTTAATATGGTGTATTGTACAGTCGCTCTCTGTATTCAGCTCTCTCAATAGTGAAATCCCTGCAGTTTCGTGGACGTAGACAAATTGCCGAACTACGTAAAATCTGTGTCTTGTTCTTTCTTGTTTCTTATTGTTTTATATTCTTGATTTGTTCTTCGATTGTGTGTGTTTGTTAGTGAATTTAAATTGTTGTTAAATCCCAACATTTCTAAGCTCCAACAGGCGACCATCAAAAGTGATAATATGGAGATAATTAAGTTGAGCTCAATCGAAGACACTCCTCCATGGGAAATGAGTGCTTTTGTTAGTGACATTAGGCACTTTGCTAAAGTTCTAAATTTTAGATTTTTACACAAGTCAAGAGCTCTTAATATAGCAGCTCACTACATAATGAAATCTCCGAATAGCCTTACTTTCAAAAAAAAAAAAAAGGTGATAAAAGACATGTATGATAGGACTATGACTACAATTAGATTTTTTGTGGGAGAAAGTAAAGAATTTTCAATCATGGTGGGATTACACCAAGGATCGGCCCTAAATTCATACTTATTCACCCTAATTATGGATGAACTCACTAAACACATTCAAGCAAAGTTATCAGAACCGGACCGGACATTGAACTGACAATGGTTCATTGGTTCAATCGGTGGTTCAATTGGTCAGATCGGTCATATAATAAAAAAATAAAAAAATATAATAATTTAGCCAAAAAATATAAAATATATTCACAATACATACATTTTTTCGTACCAACAATAAAATCCACAATCATAATAAAAATAAAATCCACAAAATAATATTATAAATTCCTAATTTAGAGATTTTATTCAATTTGGTGGTGTGTTTGATAATTACTTACTTTTTAACCCTGCATTGACTGTGCATTTATGTTTGCATCATAAAACAGGAGCAGCTTGAACAACACCTTGCACATACCCTCTCTTTCATAATTACACAACTTTCAATCTTCAATTAATCCATTTCAAGGGTTTGATCAATCAGGTGGTTTGTAGCTTCAGCACATAATATCAATGGTTCAAGCCTTGCGAGGAGACGAAGAATAGAGATGATAAATCAACCCCGGACCATTCAAAAAGTCATAGAAGAACTAGACAGAGTGGTTGAAAAATAGAGACTAGTTGGTGGCTAGTGGCTGATCACCTGAGTGGTGGCTGGTAGCTGGTGACTAATCGCTGATCGCTGGTGACTAATCGCTGATCGCTGAGAGTGAGTGGTGGCTGGTTGTCTGAAGTGTGAAAAGGGAATGGGATCTGCGATGGATTTAGTNAGTATCCGATTGTATAATAATTGAATTTTTTGCCGATATGTATCCACGATGTATATGCTTTAGATATAAAATTGCATACATATATTTTTTAGTTTTAGGAAAATACTATATAACCTAAATAAAATTTAAAAAGTGTAATTCAAATACATATTCATCTATTTGATGAGTGTTGGGTGAGTGGATTCCACCGACAAAGTAGATAGGACCCACTAATCAAATAGATGATATGCATGTAAATTGTAATTTTTTGAATTTTATTTGGATTGTATAGTATTACTCTTAGTTTAATCTCTATCTTTTCCTCTTAAAGTCACATTTAATGCAACACATAAAAAAACATGTCATACAACTTGAAGAGAAATGGGTGTTTCATAAGTATCTTATCTATTATTACATATTAAAAGCGCATAAAATGTGTTATTTACAACAAATCTATTGGGAACAAGAATTTTTAATCAAACTAACTATTTAAATATTGGTTTTGATTTCTTAATTAGTCACTTTATTTTATGAATATACCATAATGAGATGATCATTACTTTCTTTAAACTAAAAATTACTAATCTTTTGTATTATTGTTAAAAAATTTATTAGAAATTATTATTACGAAGTTATGAAAAAGTAATAAAAATATAAAATATATATTATTATATGCATATCCGTGTCCTATAATATATTATTATATATTATTTATTGAGGATACTCAGAAAAGTATAAGGAGAAGAATAAAAAAATTTATATGATATTTATAGATCTAGAAAAGATGTATAATAAAATACCTAAAAATATAATATGGAGGGTGTTCGAGAAAAAATGAGTAACGAATAGATATATTAACGGTTTTACAGAGGGCCTCACCTTTGCTTGGTGTTCTCAAGGACATCTCCCAATCGCTTGAGATTATGGGGAGAGCGGCAGCGATTGCATGGGTGATTTGAAACTCTCGAAACCAATTTGTGTTTAAGCAAGAAGATCCCAACGCATTGGCCACTTTGATGAGACCTCAGAAACTGTGGAGCGAGGTGATCTCTATTGATAAGGGCAGGCAAGGGGGTCAACAGGACGAAGTGCATCATCAACAAGAACAACACCCAAGCCAAAACCAAGTTGTTAAACTGAGTTGTGATGGAGCTTTTAAGAAAAGAGAAGCTGCTATAGGGGTGATCCTAAGGGGCGCACAAATGAGATATTGATGGAGGGTATAGCAAAACGAATTCTTGCGGTCTCCAGTCTGTTCCCTGAAGTAGCTGCTATTAGAGAAGCATGTCTCCTCGCATTAGTTTCTTGTTGGTTTTTTTGTGAAGTCTAGTTTGTATATGTGATCTGGATGATGACCCAACTCGAAGTAATGTTGTGTGATTTTTTAATGAAAAATTTTCTGAGACTTAGCCCATGGAGCGAAGATTTGGGCCGATAGGCCCAAACCGTAGTGCTCATGGACAAGCCTTGTAGGGGTTCGGGGGCAACGCTCCCGAGAAAATTTTTTGGGCCCGTTATATAGCCCAGTGCGTAGGACATATAAAATCCGTTATTTTGGTGATTAGGGTTAATATGGTGTATTGTACAGTCGCTCTCTGTATTCAGCTCTCTCAATAGTGAAATCCCTGCAGTTTCGTGGACGTAGACAAATTGCCGAACTACGTAAAATCTGTGTCTTGTTCTTTCTTGTTTCTTATTGTTTTATATTCTTGATTTGTTCTTCGATTGTGTGTGTTTGTTAGTGAATTTAAATTGTTGTTAAATCCCAACATTTCTAAGCTCCAACAGGCGACCATCGAAAGTGATAATATGGAGATAATTAAGTTGAGCTCAAACGAAGACACTCCTCCATGGGAAATGAGTGCTTTTGTTAGTGACATTAGGCACTTTGCTAAAATTCTAAATTTTAGATTTTTACACAAGTCAAGAGCTCTTAATATAGCAGCTCACTACATAATGAAATCTCCGAATAGCCTTACTTTCAAAAAAAAAAAAGGTGATAAAAGACATGTATGATAAGACTATGACTACAATTAGATTTTTTGTGGGAGAAAGTAAAGAATTTTCAATCATGGTGGCATTACACCAAGGATCGGCCCTAAATTCATACTTATTCACCCTAATTATGGATGAACTCACTAAACACATTCAAGCAAAGTTATCAGAACCGGACCGGACATTGAACCGACAATGGTTCATTGGTTCAATCGGTGATTCAATTGGTCAGATCGGTCATATAATAAAAAAATTATAAAATATAATAATTTAGCCAAAAAATATAAAATATATTCACAATACATACATTTTTTCGTACCAACAATAAAATCCACAATCACAATAAAAATAAAATCCACAAAATAATATTATAAATTCCTAATTTAGAGATTTTATTCAATTTGGTGGTGTGTTTGATAATTACTTACTTTTTAACCCTGCATTGACTGTGCATTTATGTTTGCATCATAAAACAGGAGCAGCTTGAACAACACCTTGCACATACCCTCTCTTTCATAATTACACAACTTTCAATCTTCAATTAATCCATTTCAAGGGTTTGATCAATCAGGTGGTTTGTAGCTTCAGCACATAATATCAATGGTTCAAGCCTTGCGAGGAGACGAAGAATAGAGATGATAAATCAACCCCGGACCATTCAAAAAGTCATAGAAGAACTAGACAGAGTGGTTGAAAAATAGAGACTAGTTGGTGGCTAGTGGCTGATCACCTGAGTGGTGGCTGGTAGCTGGTGACTAATCGCTGATCGCTGGTGGCTGATCGCTGAAAGTGAGTGGTGGCTGGTTGTCCGAAGTGTGAAAAGGGAATGGGATCTGCGATGGATTTAGTGCAAATGACCCAAAACAAAGTTTTTTTTTTTCATATGCACTTGAAATTCCAATCGGCCGGTTTTTCCAAATCGTCCGGTTCACAGGTTTGATTCAAAACCCGCCGGTTCATCGGTTCTCAAGCGGTTTCCTTCCTTATGCGGTCTAACTAGAGAGTCGGATTGTTTTAGATACTGGTTCAAGGTCCAACTGGTCGAACTGCCTGGTCTGGTCCAGTTTTAATAACACAACATTCAAGATAATGTCCTACGGTATATGCTATTTGTAGATTATATTGTATTAGTAAATGAAACTCGACAGGGGGTTAATCTATATCTATACTACTTCTGAAAGGTTGCTAAAGTGAAATTTTTTTTTTCCATAATTATCCTCATAGTTTTGTACAATGCCAGATAGGTCTTCAATCTATACTAAATGAATACTATTTAATGCAATAATGTTGAACAGAGCACCCTTTCATCTTCTTGCAAAACATTTGAATACCTAAAAGGCACATTCTACTACTTTTGATTTCCTTTTGTTCCTTGCTTTTAACTGATGAAGAGACAAATAGACAATTGTTTTAAAGTCAAGATATTTTGTACATTAATGCTTACATTCACATTCAATATCAACTACAAATTGAAATTTGAAACAATTTAGGCCTTTTCGTATTCTATCTTCCTTCACAGACAGGTGCTAAATAAAGCAAGGAACTCATGTGTTGTCTCACTTAAAAACACTTGTGGACCTGTGTTACTCAGTACACTTCTCCAACTCCTTCCTCCCCCTTCCCCCAAGCACAATAACTGTGTGTATGAATAGTGAAACCATTGACATCGTTTCAACAGGTATTGATTCAATAATTTGTTTATTTTCTTGTTTTTGTTTTGTAGTCTATTTTAGTTTGGCAAGTCCAATTCTTACATCCATTTTTTTAGAGGCTACTGGGAGAGCTTATAATTTATCAGCCCTTATTTTTTTTGTGACCCTGTTATGCATTATACAAGTTAGTTGTACAATGTTATGTTTCAATGTTTTAGTGCAAGAACTTTTGAGGCATAGATGTAGTAGTACTGGGGCTTTTGTTCTATATGTTCTACTTATTGGCTTGGATGGCATTCTTTTGGGTTATTTTTTAAGGAGATCATGATCAAGGAAGGGTTTAAAGAAATTATTTGTGATTATTGGTAACCATAAGGAAGAAGATAGAATGCGTCACAAATTGATTCGCAATAAGGTAATGCTTTTGTGAGTGATATAACATAAAAAGTATAGACATAGTGTAATAGTACCAATAATGACCCTCTATAAAGTATAACATATAAAGTATAGACATAGTGTTAATGTAATTTTTTTTGTATCACAGATGTTAAAGTATTACTTCCTTGAGCGATTGATTAATACACACATGAAGAATTTAGTGATCTTTTCTTGGCATCTGGTATCAGTGACCAAATGGGAATGAACTCAACCATTTCATTGTGATTCTTTGTCTTGTTGTTTAGTTGAGGTATCTGGCCAAAACCGTCCTCTTTGAAATAACCCACTATGTAAACACTATGCTGCCTCCTCCGATAGGACACATCGACTTCACTAAGTAGCCTCCTCATGTCGACTTCACTAAGTTGCCTCCTCATGTCGACTTCAATGACGTCAAAACTTACGGTGAAAGCAAAAGTTGCTTAGATTTCATTGCCTATTTTCTACATTTGAAATGCTAAAATTAATTCTCACAATCACTGTTAAGGTGGTTGTAAAAATATTCTAAACATCAATCAATATATGACCATGATAGTTGTAAATTTATATAATCATTGAGTACTAGACGCCAAATCTTACAGTGAAGACCATAATAATTGTAAATTTCATAGAGTATTAGCTAAGTATTGCCACTAGATACTCTTTTTAAAATTAGTTTAATTAGTAGTTTTTGGAAAGTTCTAAAAAAAAATGATTGTTTACCGATTAATAATCAATATTTACCAAATATATGCAAGGGCGGAGCCAAGAATTTTGTTTGGGGTGGACACTTTAATTACGCATTCTAATTTTTTTTCCTTCTAACCAATCACACTATATAATATATATTATATTTATTATATCATATTTGATACATTTTTTTTATACATAAAATCCATTTAACATAGAAATGGCCAAAAGAAAATATATTGTATATGTATAAAAAAAATGACTCATTATCACCCTTGTAAAAAAGTGAAGCTAATTATCATTTTTGTAATTAAAAAATATCAATTATTCATTACCAATTCATTAAATTCATTCAATAAACAATGTTTCAAACTTTCAAGCATTATCACTGAGATATTAGTATAGTAAAACTACTAAACTAAATTTCAAAAGCTAAACATAGTAAAAAAATAAAAAATCAATTGTCACATAATAAATACTATAATCAATACTAATCAATACTTGAATAGAAATAGAGACGATTTCTCGTATAAATAATAAAAGTCAAATGAAAGTTATTTGCAATAACTTCTACTTGTAAAAATTCAAAAATAATAAAATTAAAATCATCTGAAAAAAAAAGCCTTAATACAATAAAAAATACTAAACAATTGAAATAAGAAAATTATAGAGTGGACACAAGTACAAAAATGTATAATTTTTAAAAAATATAAATATAAGTATACATATAATATATTTTAAAAAAATTGAGGTTGAAATTGGTTGCCCACTAAGGCTGACCACATAACCCATTGTTATTTTTCTTTGCACCCCCTCCATGTTAGTTTTTTTGAGAACTTCAAAATCAAATTTCTTATATGTTTTAAAACTTGGTTTCACTTCTATTTCTATACACTGTTATGATAAACTTAGACAATATTTCAATTATTTTAATTCTTTATTGCGATAATTTGGTTTGAAGTTAAGAGGATATTGTGGTCCATTTTATTATGATAACACTTTAAACACTATTTCATCAAGACTTTTCATGTTTTATTTTTCTCTTTATTTTTGTAATCTTGCATTTGCTTTTTTAAAAATTATGCTATCTTTTACATGTTTTTGGTATAGAAGCTGAAGAGACTTTCTTACAATTATAAAGTTTTTTTTTGTAGGAATACTTCAAACTAAATAGGCTATGATATTCAATTTATCAATTATCTCTCAAATATACACTTGTTATTTTTGTATTCACTCCCAAAGTGTCATGTTCCTAAATAATAAATAGCACAAAAACTACAACTAAAAACTTCGTTGCACAAATAAACATTGAAAAGCATATAAAATAAATAAATTAAAATTATAACTCAAAATTTTTCACGTTAGTAATAAGTTAAAAATTTGTTGAGAGAGACACTCGAATCAAAATGGTTTAAATAAGTAGGAGTAAGATTAAATATATGTAATACAATTTTAGTAATAAAAAAAGTAGACGTAGCGAAAAAGTTAAGATTGAAAATAAAGAAATACTAACAAGCAAACAATTTAGTTATCTATAATTGATCATTAAAAATGATGGAGAGATTGAAGATGATGTAACTCAAAGAATCAACACCGGTTGACTTAAGTGGATGAAAACCTCTAGCATATTATGTGATAGGAGGATATCAATAAAATTGAAAAGTAAGTTTTATCAAACAGCTATAAGAACAACAATGTTGTATGAGACAAAATGTTAGGCAACTAGGAAACAAATTAGTGACAAAATGAGTGTAGCGTAAATGAGAATGCTCACGGTGAATGTGTGGAAAAACTAGAAAGGATAGAATAAGAAATGATCATATTAGAGAAATGGTAGGAGTAGTTCCAATTGAGGATAAGTTAAAAAAAAATAGATTAAGATGGTTTAGTCATGTTCAACGGAGGTCGATAGAGGCACTGATTTGAAAAAAGTGAGATAATATCTCTTAATGGTATTATAAGTAGAAGTAAATCTAAATTAACATTAAAAAAATAATATGAAAATATGTAACTTAAATAAACGTATAGTGCATGATCGAAATAAATGGCGAAAACGGATTCATATAGTCAACCCCAAATGATTGGGATATAAAACTTAGTTTGGTTTGGTTTGATTTGATTTGGTTATATCTGTGTTCTAATNTATACACTGTTATGATAAACTTAGACAATATTTCAATTATTTTAATTCTTTATTGCGATAATTTGGTTTGAAGTTAAGAGGATATTGTGGTCCATTTTATTATGATAACACTTTAAACACTATTTCATCAAGACTTTTCATGTTTTATTTTTCTCTTTATTTTTGTAATCTTGCATTTGCTTTTTTAAAAATTATGCTATCTTTTACATGTTTTTGGTATAGAAGCTGAAGAGACTTTCTTACAATTATAAAGTTTTTTTTTGTAGGAATACTTCAAACTAAATAGGCTATGATATTCAATTTATCAATTATCTCTCAAATATACACTTGTTATTTTTGTATTCACTCCCAAAGTGTCATGTTCCTAAATAATAAATAGCACAAAAACTACAACTAAAAACTTCGTTGCACAAATAAACATTGAAAAGCATATAAAATAAATAAATTAAAATTATAACTCAAAATTTTTCACGTTAGTAATAAGTTAAAAATTTGTTGAGAGAGACACTCGAATCAAAATGGTTTAAATAAGTAGGAGTAAGATTAAATATATGTAATACAATTTTAATAATAAAAAAAGTAGACGTAGCGAAAAAGTTAAGATTGAAAATAAAGAAATACTAACAAGTAAACAATTTAGTTATCTATAATTGATCATTAAAAATGATGGAGAGATTAAAGATGATGTAACTCAAAGAATCAACGCCGGTTGGCTTAAGTGGATGAAAACCTCTAGCATATTATGAGATAGGAGGATATCAATAAAATTGAAAAGTAAGTTTTATCGAACAACTATAAGAACAACAATGTTGTATGGGACAAAATGTTAGGCAACTAGGAAACAAATTAGTGACAAAATGAGTGTAGCGTAAATGAGAATGCTCACGGTGAATGTATGGAAAAACTAGAAAGGATAGAATAAGAAATGATCGTATTAGAGAAATGGTATGAGTAGTTCCAATTGAGGATAAGTTATAAAAAAATAGATTAAGATGGTTTGGTCATGTTCAACGGAGGTCGATAGAGGCACTGATTTGAAAAAAGTGAGATAATATCTCTTAATGGTATTAAAAGTAGAAGTAAATCTAAATTAACATTAAAAAAATAATAAGAAAATATGTAACTTAAATAAACGTATAGTGCATGATCGAAATAAATGGTGAAAACGGATTCATATAGTCGACACCAAATGATTGGGATATAAAACTTAGTTTGGTTTGATTTGATTTAATTTGGTTATATCTGTGTTCTAATTTTTCAATTTTGGCATATTATTCTATCCGTATTATATAGTACTCGTGTCCCATATCCATCTCCCTATTTCCTAAGCTACAACTTACAACTCATGTGGTAGGGTTTATGTGATTGAAATAGTTATTTTATGGTTGAAAATGTAAAATCAGTGAATGCTATATCTACAAAATCTAGGGATTGTGGTGAGAATAATTTTCCAATTTTCCCTAAAGTGTAAAAGATTGGATAGTCAATTCTGACCCGATCTGTTGATCCATTTATGGGCCGGCCCATTGATCCTGAGATTCCAGCTACAGCCCGGAGAAAAGAAAGTCCAACTGGTCAAGAGAGAGAGAAGACGAAAGACACACCGAAAACCCTAGCTGGAATTTAGAAAAGAGAGAAGCGCCAGAGTGGGCGTGAGAGAGAGAAAACAAACGATGCGGCCTCTGGACGAGAACGAGACCACCCAAGTCTTCGAAAAGCTTTTCAAATTCACAGGCAACAACCTCAAGAACATCGTTGAAAACCCATCTCACGAAGGCCCTGAAACAAACCCAGGTCGCTATTGCTTTCGTTTGCAGAAAAACAGAGTCCACTATGTGAGCGAATCTCTAGTCAAGCGAGCCACAAACATCAAACGAGACAAGTTGGTCTCTTTGGGCACAAGCATTGGGAAATTCACTAAAGGTGGTAGCTTTCATTTGACTATACAGTGTTTGAATCTTTTGGCTGCCAATGCCAAACACAAAGTCTGGCTAAAACCCACTTCAGAGATGTCCTTTTTGTATGGAAACCATGTGTTAAAAGGTGGGTTGATTAGGAAATTTCTTTTATCTTAATTTCTAATTTGGTATTTTTTTGTGTGGATATGTTGCTTTGTTTGGGTTGTGAACTATCTTTTTCATGGTTATTTTGTATTTTTGTTTAGGTGGTTTGGGGAGGATTACTGAGAATATTGTGTCTGGTGATGGGGTGGTGGTGTTTTCCATGGCGGATGTGCCGTTGGGGTTCGGAATTGCGGCGAAGTCTACGCAGGATTGTAGGAAGATGGATCCCAATGGGATTGTGGTGCTGCACCAGGCGGATATTGGGGAGTATCTTAGAATGGAGGATGAGCTTTGAATTTTGATTGAAGGGTCAGCAGTTTNCGGAATTGCGGCGAAGTCTACGCAGGATTGTAGGAAGATGGATCCCAATGGGATTGTAGTGCTGCACCAGGCGGATATTGGGGAGTATCTGAGAATGGAGGATGAGCTTTGAATTTTGATTGAAGGGTCAGCAGTTTTGGGAAATTTTGGTGAGTAGGTTGGAGTTGGCCTGGGAATTAATCTGGGGCTTTGTAACTGGGTTTTGGCCGGTCATTATATGTTTTGATTTGTGGAATTCTGATTGATTGCTTGATGTATGAATGTGATAATTTGCATAAATGCCTGTTTTTCTCTTAATACCTCTTTGCTGCAATATTTACTCGACTATAGATATGAATTGGGTTGCATTTCGATGTCAACATGCAGGTTTTGAGGTGTTTTTTGCTATGAACAAGAGTTCATTTGTATTGGATTTGAAGGATGCACGGTTGAGTCGTTCAAAATTTGGAAATCTATGTGTATAAATATCTAATGTATGCCTGCAGCGTGAAGTTCTTAAAAGTGGGAAACTTTTGGTTTGGTGTGAGTGAGTGTTGGTTATTTTTTACTAAACAGTATTGTTGAGTATATGGCATTCGCATTGAACTGCTATACTGACATGAAATGTGATTATTAATATGATATGGGTGAATGGTGAGGTTTTGGGATTTTTGATGAGTACTACTGACTACTGAGGCATTGGAGTTTACTTATAACAAATGATGTCATCTTAATCCTTCGTAATGTTGTAATTGGTAAATTAGGAGCTTGTAAGTTCTTTGCTATTTGTCTCTTGTTCGTCTATGCTGTGATTGTTCAGGCACTAAAGTAGTTCAGAGTGATGTTAATTTGTTATTTGATATCTTATTTACTCATAATTTATTTCCTTTAATTTCTTAACATAGGTTTTTCTGCAGTCGGCTGGGGTACTGTTTCAATTTACTCTTTTCCACGATATATGGCCTAGTATGGCTTAGACTGCCTTTATAATAAAATGAAAATAAATCGTGGATTTCTGAAGTTTAATCGGATGCTATAAAACTGGTTGCATACTTGTTCTGTTCCTGTGTTTGTTCAATNTTTCCTTTAATTTCTTAACATAGGTTTTTCTGCAGTCGGCTGGGGTACTGTTTCAATTTACTCTTTTCCACGATATATGGCCTAGTATGGCTTCGACTGCCTTTATAATAAAATGAAAATAAATCGTGGAATTCTGAAGTTTAATCGGATGCTATAAAACTGGTTGCATACTTGTTCTGTTCCTGTGTTTGTTCAATTTTTTAGGAGAACTAAGATATTTTCTTTTTCTTTTTATTCTTTCTTCCTGCCTTTACTTTTGCCGTAAAGAATACCCAAAGTGCACAGATACCTCAAAACAAAGGTGGTTGGAGTTTTAAGGCAAATGAAAACATGAGGATCAATGAATTCGAGTGAAATAGTGACGAACTCCTCAAATGGCACCTCTGAAGTAAGGCTTATCTACAAAACATGCCCTTGTATAAANAACTAAGATATTTTCTTTTTCTTTTTATTCTTTCTTCCTGCCTTTACTTTTGCCGTAAAGAATACCCAAAGTGCACAGATACCTCAAAACAAAGGTGGTTGGAGTTTTAAGGAAAATGAAAACATGAGGATCAATGAATTCGAGTGAAATAGTGACCAACTCCTCAAATGGCACCTCTGAAGTAAGGCTTATCTACAAAACATGCCCTTATATAAGAGATGAAAGAGTAATTTTTGGCAACAAAAGAGGACTAAAGTGTTTGTTCATGATGTTCAATTAGTTTTGTTTGTTGTAAGTAGAACACAGTGACCATACAGTTCAGGTGTTACTTTTGCCAGGTCTCTGCAAGAAAATTACAGGTCACAGATGAAATACATCATGCCACGTTGTCANAGTTTTGTTTGTTGTAAGTAGAACACAGTGACCATACAGTTCAGGTGTTACTTTTGCTAGGTCTCTGCAAGAAAATTACAGGTCACAGATGAAATACATCATGCCACGTTGTCAATAGTTGTGGTAGCATGAAGAATATGGTAATGCCAAAGTCCATTTCCAGGGAAACAAATTATGGGGGTTTTGTTTCATATTTTGCAGATTTCAGGGCTTGTAGCTGCTGATATTGGAATGTAATTTTGCATACTTAGCAGATTACAGAAACCTTTGTCCCTATAGTTAGTATGCAAGTCTCATATATGCTCACAGAGTCGGTTTATTAAAGGTTTAAGGTTCACNTGCCAAAGTCCATTTCCAGGGAAACAAATTATGGGGGTTTTGTTTCATATTTTGCAGATTTCAGGGCTTGTAGCTGCTGATATTGGAATGTAATTTTGTATACTTAGCAGATTACAGAAACCCTTATCCCTATAGTTAGTATGCAAGTCTCATATATGCTCACAGAGTCGGTTTATTAAAGGTTTAAGGTTCATGGTTTTGAGTTTAGAGTATTTTGAGGTGGCGAAGGGATGGGTGGCTGCTGAGAAACTCTTGTTCGCTTGTTTTTGTTTTGTTTTACTTTTGCTATGAAATCAGTAGGTTTAAGCTTCTACATAAACATCAAGCCTTACATGCTGTCATGCTTTCCTACCTGAGTCTCTTGTACAAATATGGCCTGTCATGTCTATATCTCCTTGTTGTGTGGCTTTTCTCGGTGGATCATAGGATGAGATGAAAGAAGAGTAATTGAAGACCAAGATGCTTTAACAGGAACTGAAACANTTTAAGCTTCTACATAAACATCAAGCCTTACATGCTGTCATGCTTTCCTACCTGAGTCTCTTGTACAAATATGGCCTGTCATGTCTATATCTCCTTGTTGTGTGGCTTTTCTCAGTGGATCATAGGATGAGATGAAAGAAGAGTAATTGAAGACCAAGATGCTTTAACAGGAACTGAAACAAAGTGTCTTGGTCTTGATTTAGTCTTCTCTCATTCCTACTCTGCAGTGGAGTTCATGACTCAAAACTTCTACGCATATATTTTCTTAGCTTTCCTAACTAGAGAAGAGAAAGGTGGTTCTTTATAAGTCTAATTCATTATTCATAGCATAGTAACCTTATATGTTGTTATTATGAAATGAAATGGCTTATACACCAGTTTGATTCGAGTGGTAGGCACACGAAATATATTTGGCATTTACAACGGGATTAGGGTATTCACGAGGGATAAATCATTTTTGGTTTAATCTCAAGTGATTGTTAAGATTTAAATTTAAGACGTCTGATTTTATAATTCGTTCTTGTTCCTATTTGAGTTCTTCCTTCCTTNATAGTAACCTTATATGTTGTTATTATGAAATGAAATGGCTTATACACCAGTTTGATTTGAGTGGTAGGCACACGAAATATATTTGGCATCCACAACGGGATTAGGGTATTTACGAGGGATAAATCATTTTTGGTTTAATCTCAAGTGATTGTTAAGATTTAAATTTAAGACGTCTGATTTTACAGTTTGTTCTTGTTCCTATTTGAGTTCTTCCTTCCTCGGAGGTTAAGAGCTGGCTTTTACATCCTTAGTTCATATACTCTTTCTAAGACGAGGGGTTGAACCACCTAAACTTAGATTGGAATGACAAGAAAAAAAGTTGTGTAGTTGACGTGGACATGTGATACTTTTAAATGCAAATTTAAGTCTTTCTTTTTTAACAAGTGACAACTCAAACATAATGACGTCATTGAGTAAAAAAAAGAGCTTTGAATCCAAAAAAAACAACCAAACCAAGAAGACTTCATGCGCATCCGGGGAATCGAACCCCGGTCAGTACCGTGGGAGGGTACTATGATACCCCTACACCAGATGCGCTTCTTGTTATTACGGCCTTATTAACTCAATATAAACATAACTATTTCATCTGCCAAAAAAATCCACCAAAAGGTTGTCGCAGGCTGGCCACTGCCCCCACTGTCGGAGCGCTCAGATAATTTTTTGACTCATTTTTTATACAAGTCGAATATGAAACATAATTTTAGGCTCGTTTTAATACGAGCCGAGCCTGAGCTATTCAATTGAATCATATAAGTTTGGTATTTTTTTTTTAAAGGTATTCAATTTATATATACTTCTTCCAGCAGTATGTTATCTGTCAATAATACACTCATGACCCATTGACTCACGTGAATTTGAGCCTAAAGTTAGATTCGAATTCACATTAATAATAAATGAGTTTAGATGAACTGAGCCCAAACAATTCTTTTTTAAATGAGTTAAGTATAAATAAAATTTTAAGTTCTTCATCTGCCCCGAGTTTGAAAAGACCTTAAAAATTACGAACTGAATCTGACCACATTAAAACTTGCACAATCTCGATTCATTTAACACCACTACCCACTGTTAGATGTTAGACTTTGACTTTAAAGTCGCACGTTTCAACCTTGTCTGTTCAACAAAAAAAAAAAAAAAACCTTGTCGGGCCTAGAATAATAGTGTCTGACCAGCCTTACAGCCCAATGGCCACTTGCATCATTACTCCTTAGCAATTAGGGTCTTTGCTTAGCTTTAAGATGGGCTCGAATCAAAGCCACCACATTTTAAGGCGTGATGAGACTCAAAACAAAATGCTTGGGGCCGACGGGTTTTACACCGATTAAGGGGTGATAATTTTTAACACGATATATTAATAATATTACATAAACATGAAATATATAAAATTAGTCATGTTACTATTAAACACGAATAATTTGAATTTGATAAAATTACATTTAATTAGTTTTTGTATGAATAAAATATCTTACTTATTTAATTTTTTTTTATCTGATATTGACATGAAGGTTTGTAAAACAAGAGAGGACTTCTTTAGCAATTTTTGTCATTATAGGGGGTTTGGTGGATTTTTATCTACCAAAATACCGTTATCAATGATCAAATGGATTCACTTGAAAAATAGATTAGACATTTGACATGATTATTTAAATGTGTGTCAGGTCATGTTTGAGTCGTTAGCTGGTTGTAAAACAAAAAAGCATTTAAACATTTCATTATAGAACCTTGCCTTGCCTACAAAGCCTTCATGTTGTCACTATGATGCATTTATCTTGTCACATTCTGTTTTTTGCTAGACTATCTATCTTCTCACCGTTCTTTTAAGAGTAAATCATACATATAACCCTTAAATTATTATGACTCTTTGTGTTAATTAAACTACTAATTTTTTTTTAATAATTGAGTCTATGAACTTTCTAATTATGTCAATTGAACCCTTCTATCTGCCTCCGTTAGAGTGTGACTCATATGACCATACGACACAAAAAGACAGAAAGACTCAATTGACACAATTAGAGAGTCAATTAGCTCAATTGACACACAAAAACAAAAATAAAAATTCAAGAACTTAATTAACATAAGAGTCATAGTTTAAGGCATATGTGTAATTTACTCTAACTCATTTGTATCACGCGAGTGACACACTTCGCCACTTCCATTAAAATATCTAACGGAGGTAGACAGAAGGATTCAATTAACACAATTAGAGAGTTCAGAGGCTCAATCGACACAATTAGACAGTTCAATGGCTCAATCGACACAAAAAAAAAAATAAGAGGCTTAATTGACACAAGAGTTATAATATATAGACCATATGTTGCCAATGAAAGACTTTGAGAATAAAGATAAAGCATTTAAAAGAAAGTATATAGCTTGGAAGAAGATAAACATTTAAATTTATCCTCCCATTGATA